ACTTTTACTTTTACTCCACTACATTTCCTAATTAAAATGTATACTTTTACTCCGATACATTTCCCTGAAGCATATTCGTTACTTACTACAAAATAAAGTCAGAAGAACACGCAGGGCTGGATTTACCTCTTTTCGTGACATAGGCAAAACAAATTTTTGGGCCCCCCTTCCCTATTAATATAATAGGCCTAATATTACCACCCAAGCAAACAAAACTATTTCTTAATCAGTGGAAACCGTTACAGTGCTTTCTATCGCAATAAGCGCTTGCGTTCAGTCAGCAGTCTAACGCAGTTATTAGAGAGAGAGAGCGCGAAAGAGAGAGGGAGAGATTAAGTGCATGTGAATACTTGCTCTGTGCGTCTCTCAGCAGTGTGCAGCAGCAGCGTCTAGCGAATCTTTAAGTTGAACTGCTTCAAGAACCTCGCTACTGAGAAATGTCATGTAGCTTTTCAGCTGCGAAACTCTTTTTTTTTATAAATTCGCGGGGCAGCCCCAGCACGCTGACGTCTCCGCGTGTGTGCGCGAGTCTATGTGTGTGCGTGAGTGAGAGAGAACGGGAGAAAGAAAGCGTGATTTCCGTACATAAAAAAGGTTGAAGACATGGAAATAGTTTGTCATTTTTACCCTATTGTTTGTTATATTTATTTGCTCAATGTCTTCTGGGGTTTTGGTTCTTTTACTGTTGTAGATATCCCATAGTATATCATTTCTACTATATATCTCTTCATTGTGTTTGGTCCCCCCCTGGACGAGCAAGCATAGGCACGTGCCTAGAATGCCTATGCGTAAATCTGGTCCTGGGCGTGGTTGACTCATAACTTTTATAAAGAATATCTCTTTGTATTTGAGACTTTAGTCTTTGCAACTTTACATATCGTTTTTATGTACCAAGAGCTTGTAACACTCCAAAGAGAAAGGAAAATTTTAAATCGCATCATATGACCCCTTTAAGCTGCACAACTGTTATCAACATCTATAATAATAATTAATGTTTCTTGAGCAGAAAATCAGCGTATTAGAATGATTACTGAAGGATCATGTGACACTGAAGATTTTGCATCACAGAAATAAATTACATTTTAAAATATATTAAAATAGAGAACGGTTCTTTTAAATGTAGTATTTCATAATAAAATTGTTTTCCTGTGTTTCCGATCAAATAAATGAAGCCCTGGTGTGCATGAGAGACTTCTTTTAAAGACTTTACCAAACTCTTACCAAACATAAACTTTTGAATAGTAGTGTAGTTTAATAATTTACATAATTTCTTCACCCTTCCAGTTGAATCTTTCATTTTATTATTTTAGTTCTCCCTTTATGTTTTTGATTATCGGTTAGTCATAGCACTCTTTTGCCATATATTTTTCATATGACCAACAGGCCATTATTCCAGCGAACAGATTTCAGCTGTGCTACAATAGTTCTATATGTCTTCTATCACTCCACAGTCTCTTTCTTCTTGCATAATGAAATAATTTAAACTCAAATCAATATTTGTAACACTTAATTATTTATTTGGTAAATAACCATGTAATAATTGAGTACATTATGTTCCTCATCACCCTATTACGATTTTTGTTATAATGATTCTAACTGATGATCCATTGTCCCATATTGTATTAGATACAGGTGCATCTCAATAAATTAGAATGTCGTGGAAAAGTTCATTTATTTCAGTAATTCAACTCAACTCAAATAACTCGTGTATTAAATAAATTCAGTGCACACAGACTGAAGTAGTTTAAGTCTTTGGTTCTTTTAATTGTGGTGATTTTGGCTCACATTTAACAAAAACCCACCAATTCACTATCTCAACAAATTAGAATACTTCATAAGACCAATAAAAAAAAATTTTTTAGTGAATTGTTGGCCTTCTGGAAAGTATGTTCATTTACTGTACATGTACTCAATACTTGGTAGGGTGAATTGGTGGGTTTTTGTTAAATGTGAGCCAAAATCATCACAATTAAAAGAACCAAAGACTTAAACTACTTCAGTCTGTGTGCATTGAATTTATTTAATACACAGGTTTCACAATTTGAGTTGAATTACTGAAATAAATGAACTTTTCCACGACATTCTAATTTATTGAGATGCACCTGTATATTAATAAGTCTGTTGATGATTAATTCCTTCTAAACCAGTGGCTCATTTGTTTGTGTTTGTACATATATTTGTTTAGTGCAGCTAAACCCACCCTATAACCTCTCAGTGGTGTGGAATAAGCAGGACGGCACACTTTCACTGCAGTGGAACAGCAGTTACCCCCTCCCAAAAAACTGTGTAGTCTATATGGTGCGCAACCAGAAAGACACAAGACAGGTGAGACCAGAGATATCATAATATGATCGTTTTGCATTCAAACTGCCAACTGTCTCATCTTCATCTTTCTTTTGCTCCCAGTCCTCAAACGTGACAGGAACATCATACAGTCTGTCTCAGGTCTCACAGAACAAGCCCTATGTTTTCCAAGTGCGGAGCACTGTTGCTGATGTCTGCAGTGCTTCAGATCTCTGGAGTGACTGGAGTGACCCGGTGGAGTCGGGCACCGGTGAGATATTACTATCACATAGTGAGGGACATGGATGGATTTGCTCTCATTTGTCTTCTTACAGTTTTTTCCCCATCATGTTTCTGTGTTATGTAGGGAACAGCAGACAAGGCAGGTGGCAGGGGCTTTATGTTGTTCTGTCAGTCCTTCTGCTGTTTCTGCTGGGTTTGATGTTGTGCTATTGTGAGAGGTGAGAGATGTTTAAAAGACTTAAACATAAGAGTTTTTCATTAAGACTTGTTTTATTTATATATTACAGATGTTATTTAAAGATTATTTTATTGCAATAATATAATGTAATCAGGGTTTCTGCAGGTCTTAAAAAGACGCCCTTCCACAATTGGAGCTCTTAAATATGAGAAGAAAGTCATGGCATTAAATGTTGCATTCACTACAAAAATGAATATTTTTCTCTGTATTTTTGTCTTGTTTTTTTTTTAGTTTAAATATCTAAACATCCTTAAATCAAGATACATTTATTTGAGATACAAAATGAAGGTATGAAGTTGTGTTTTCTGAGAAAATGAACAAAACCTTCTTGTTATTTTGCTTCTCAAGTAAATGTATCTTAAAAAATGTACAGTAAAACGAATTATGTGTGGCAGTCAGTCACCGCACCGGTGTGGATATTCACTGTACTTCGCAATCACAGATTCTAGCCTACGTATTGGAATATATGACCCAAATAAGTATTTTCACCGGATATTGTCATCTGAACAAGTAAGTAACAAGTAACAGCGTATTGATGCTGCACACTGGTGGTTGTTGAGGAGATTCCCCCCTTCTATGTAAAGCGCTTTGAGTGCTGGAATTGACGTAATGACGCAGCAGCATGCTCGAATTTCCCGCGAAAACCTACCAGTACTACTCAAATTAGAAAACATTACTATAAGCTAACCGTTGTGAATCAGGCTAAAATAAGGCGATAGTTTTGAACACTGGCTGGTTATGTACTTGCTCAAATATTGATTTCGGATCATTTTTAACCAAAAAAAG